GCGGAAGGCTGGCAGGCAGGCATCCTGCCTTAGCACCCCTGCGCCCCACCTCAAGCCCACCAACCCAGAGCTACTTCCTGCACCCCCAAACCCCTTATCCCCAGTCCCCCTGCAAAGCCACTTCCTGCACCCCAAACCCCTTATCCCTAACCGAGCCCCTCCCTCTTGCATCCCAAATCCCTAGGCCTATCACAACCCCCTGATTCACCCCACAGACCCCTCCTGTATTCCAAATCCCTTGTCCCCACCCCACAGCCTGGAGTCCCTTACTGCACACCAAACCCTTCATCCCCAGAGCCCTCACACCCTGCACCCCAACTCTCTGCCCCAGGCCTGAGCCCTCTCCCATATTCATAACCCCTTGGCCCCCACTCCCACAATATGAATTTTGTTATGTATACCATCATCCCCACAGACCCCTCCTGTATTCCAAATCCCTTGTCCCCACCCCACAGCCTGGAGTCCCTTACTGCACACCAAACCCTTCATCCCCAGAGCCCTCACACCCTGCACCCCAACTCTCTGCCCCAGGCCTGAGCCCTCTCCCATATTCATAACCCCTTGGCCCCCACTCCCACAATATGAATTTTGTTATGTATACCATCATATGTCATGTATGTCATTGTTATGTATGTCATCACCTCCACATTGGTGCACATAACAAAATTCATTCCACTGAGGGGTGGGAAAAAGTAGAGGGTGCACTGGTGGGAAGGATCCTCTTCAGATTGTGTTTTCTAGTGGTTACATCCATTTAGGTTTATACTTATTTTTAACAGCCTTTCTGAAGTGTGAAGAATAAGAGGAAAACTAAATCAAAGTGATATATTTGATTAATGTTCCCAGCCTGACAGTGGCTAAATTGGCCATTGTTAAATATTTCAGAGACATCCAGGCACCATTAAAAATTTCAATCTTCCATTTTAAAATGAAACAAAGGGTCTTTTGCAGTTCCTAATAGACTTTGTCCAGTTAACATCACATAAAAGGGATTTTAAAATGGACTATTATGACTGATATAATGGTATGGGAGCAAACAGCTACAAGGCAATGCTCCTTTAAGCTTGTTTCTCCCCATTTAACATTTTAGTATATAAACACGCGTCCTTAAGTCTATGAACTGCAGGAGAGCAGGAAAATGTTACCTTTGTCCTGAAATTTTCCTGAATTATTTTCATTAATGTAGACTCTGTGCATGGTGTTCTTTCTCTCTGCAGCCTACAGAGAGCCCTACCTGTTTGTGACCCATGTCAATTCTCTTGAAGTGATTGAGATTCAGGCTCGTGCTTCTCTAGGGTAAGTCATGCGCTGCTCAGCACTTTGCAGAGAAAAAGTATGATTTGCTGCAGGGTGTTTTTCAAGAATAATGTACCACAACCAGATTAAAGATGGTTTTCTTCCCCCTTCACTCAGTACTCCTGCACGAGCCCACTTGGATATCCCAAGTCCTCGGTATCTGGGGCCAGCAATTTCATCGGGGGCAATTTATCTGGCCTCCTCCTATCAGGACAAATTAAGAGTTATCTCCTGTAAGGGAAATTTGGTGAAGGAGTCCAATGATGAACACCACAGAGGATCCTCCACTACACCTATATTCAGTCCAGGCCCACCAATGGGGGCAGGGAGTTGCCTTGGAGCCTGGCAAATTGCTGCTACTGCAGAAGCAGCAGTAGCTGAAGCCCTGGGCCCCTTTGAATTGCTTCCAGAGCACTGCTCCATGGGGCTCTGAGGGCTGGGGGTGAAGGGGGGCGCAGCACTACAGTCTCAATGACTGAGGACTGGCTGCCAAGGCTCTAACCCTTCCACCTGAGGTCCCACCCCTTCCAGGGGCACAGAACTTCCCCCCCCCACACACACACCTTGTCTGGGGGCCCACAGAAGCTGTCAGCCCCTCTGTTTCAGTCCTGTTCCTCATGCTATGTAGGCAGCATTAGCTCTAGAGCTTTTTCTCTGGTATTGTTGCATGACAATCTCATTTTGCTGTAATGGAAAAACTTCCTCCACAAATACTTTGAAAACTTTAGTGATTGTTTTGAAAAAAGGAATGCCCCAGGTGACGAAGACTCTCTGCATGCATCTGTGTGTGAGATTCTTTCTGAAAGCCTTTTAACTACCGTAATTTAGCAAATATAACCCGCGGGTTATATTCCTTTTTACAAACCCCGCACCCCCTCTGCGGGCTATAGTCGTGCATAGGATTTTTTTTTTTTAACAGAAATGAGAGAGGATCCCCTCCCCTTCACTACCTTTGCCGTGCTGGGTACAGAACAACGCGGGGAAACTGACAGGGGCCTCAGCAGCAGGGAACGCTCCGGAGCTGGGGCAGAGACATCCTCAGCAGAGGCAGGACGCCCGGAGCAAGTTACAGCCGTGGGCTTTTTAAGCTTTTCAAACTTTTAAAGGGTAAAGGTTTAAAGTTTAAAATACAAGCTAAAATCAGTGACTCAATACGCGGTCACAGTTACAGTTGGTCCCTAGATTAGGACTGGATGAATTAGAGGAGTTTGTTTTCTTAACATGGCTACTTGTGGAACAAAGTATCCTGATTAAGAAAACCTGCATAAATGTTCTGTTTTAGAACAATAATACAATTAGACGTTTAAACATTGATACAATACATTAATTTTTTTTCTTGAAATAAATTGCTTGTCCCTAATCATGGAATTATTCCTTAGCTACAACAGCTGAGGCTGCCAAAACAGGATTTGGACCAGAAATGATATTTTACACTCATGCTGATGTGGCCTTGAAAGTCTACTGCTAACATTCATTATTGCCATGAAAATGGAACACAAGTGATTTCAAATGATCTTTAAAAGCCAGAATCCCAACCCTTTAAATAGTGCCTGTCTGAATGTGACAGTGTAGGAGAATGTATTAAGTGACGTGATCTTGTTGTGTTAAGCAGAACAGGGCCAAATTGGTCAGGTAAGTGAATATTGTGACTGATCGTGCTATGTTGTAGAGTGAAAAGTGTTACCTATAAAATGAGAGAGAAATTTAAAGCTTGGCAAATTTGTAAGCTCTGTGCTCCCATCCTCTTATCGGAATGCTTACATAGATGTCTTGTAACGTGTGCTGCCTGTGCAAGACTTATGAGGTGTAAATTAATTTTTGCTGCACTGTCACATAGGAAAAGCCTACTGTTACATCCAAGGGAAAATAAGTTCTTATAGCCATTGCATGGATTTGATTTGTGTTGAATATTCCATAAGAAGCTGAAATGTCTAGCTTAGTAGAGATACCATTAAAGCTCTTCAGAAAGAGGATAACATTATCTTCTGTAATAGATAACTGTAGCTTTAAACAGGCTATAGATAGAAATTAACTACCTCTCATGAATTATCATCTAGGCTTCTTTAGAACACCATGTTAAAGAAAAACTGCTGGTAAGATACTCTATAATAATAATGTTCCATCCAGTCAGGACTTGTTTGGTGGCTGGTAACAAACCTTTTCAGGTGGTACTATTATAGCTACAGAGCACGCAGCTGGGAGCCTAGGAGTGTGGCTTTTCTGAACAATTCAGGGAAGTGGTTAGCATTTTTCAGTAACGCTGAATTAGCTCTGGCTGTACTTTTATTTCAACAATGTGAGGCGAGTAGGGGTGGGGGAGAAATACACCCTTGTTAATTAAAAATGTAACTTTAAAGTTTTTGTCACTCAGCTGTCCATACCCATTGTTTTTGAATGACAGTAGCCCTATTAATAGAGGTCCTCCCACATATAATGAGCACATAACCAAGCGGGTAGCATCAAGCCCAGGACCACCAGAAGGTCCAAGCCACCCTCGAGAACCAAGCACACCACATCGGTATCGAGAGGGAAGGACAGAGCTGCGCAGGGACAAGTCTCCTGGGCGACCACTGGAGAGAGAGAAATCTCCAGGAAGGCTTCTGAGCACCCGCAGAGAAAGGTCCCCTGGAAGATTGTTTGAAGAGAGCAGCAGGGGGCGAACGCTTGTGGGAGGTGCAAGAACTCCACTCTCACAAGTCAATAAGGTAAGCTGGAACTCTGTCAAATGTCTGAGTCTCCCACTGGGGAGTGGCTGTTTGCATAGTGAAAAGCCTGTGTGAGAGGGGCTTCAACCTACACCCACTTTAACTCATGCGTTCAATCACAGTACAACTAAACATATATGCATTGGTGCTCTGAAAATCTCTTCCAAAGAGAATATTTTCCCCCAGTGCTAGTTTCATGCCAGGGTGTTTGGATCTGTGTTTGACTGGTGTACATCTGTGAATGAAGAGGGCATCTGCACTGAGAGAAATCAAGTCCACACTGGAAATGAGAGGGGGGGGCGTTATTTGGGAGAAGGCGCTTGTCAGGAGCTCACTTTATGCCAGGTAAATATGGTGACCTTCCCCTCACTGGTAGGGGGAGATTCATGCCACACAGCATTTTCATATAGACGGGGGACACATGGTACTCAGTAAAACTCTGCTTCTGCTACCTACTGACAACAGTGCTGCTTATATGACCTGGGACCACATATAGGAGAACAGGAATGTTTTACTGCATCTTGTGTAACTTGTCATTTTATTTCCCTGCTAGGTCTGGGACCAATCGTCAGTATAAGTCTCAGCTAGACAAACTTACTCCTCGTGATCTGCAGGATAAACAAAGGACATGTACTGAATATATGTACTCCATGCTTCTGCTGCCTGGTTACCAAAACAACCTTATTGGGCCAGAACTGACACTGCATCAGGAGACACATGACTCTAACAAGGATTGTCTGCCTCTCAGTTTATTCCTCTGCACCTTCCTGCAGTCATACTGTTTGCACTTTGTACTACTGTTACTCTTTCAAGCAGTTCATAAACTTTTTGTACTCTAGCTTTAGTCCTTAATAGTTCATCAAGGAAATCAAATGGGATGAGGATCCCAGCCCAAATCTTAATGTGGTTAGCACCATTTACTGGAATGCGTGAGGGCCTTGTAAATGGCAAAGCCACAGTGACTTGGTTGCAGTAGACAGCATCACTAGATAGGCTCTACAGAACTGGAGAGAAAATCTGGATCTGTTTGTTTTAGGGCATGGGGGCCTGTAACCATCTAATCAAGGGATCTGCCCTCCTTCTCCTCCATCTGAACAGACCTGCACTGGAGCAATTTGAATGAGAACAAAAGAGAATGAGCTTTAAATGTGGGAGTGGAACAAAGTGCATTGTCTCTGACATTCTAGGGTATGAGACTTTTGACCCAGGTTTTCTGCATGGCAATTGACTGCATGCTGCTGCACCATCACTCTGGCTACTCTCTCGTTTTAGGTTGCTGTGTTAAGTATTGTCTTGTACCTCACCTGTAAATTAATTGAAGTCCTTAGATCATGCTGCAAAATGACCACCATGATTTACTGGAGAATTAGGCACAGAAGAGAGTGTTACAATCCTTATTGTATGACAAGGAATCACTGTCCTTCACCTTCATGTCACCCCAGTATCAACCATGACCCCCTTCAGGCTATGTCTAGACTACACTGGTCTATCAGAAAAAGGTATGCAAATCGCGTACCTTTTTCCAATGTGCATCTACCCGGCACCAAATTTCAGAAAAAAGTGCTCTTTTGACACATCCCTTATTCCTCATAGAATGAGATTTACAGGGATGGCGAAAGATTGCATCTGCTTTTAAAAAAAAAAATCGGAAAAGCGGACACAGTGTGGACGCGGCAGGGTTTTTTTCCGGGGTACCTCTGGTATCCCGGAAAAACCCCATAGTGTAGATATCACCTCAGAAATTGCATCTGAATCTTATGGTCATTGCTTTCCATAGAGGCTACTCCCCACAGTGGTTGTCAGGTTGTCCCCC